ATATATATATCACCTTATATATATGATGAAAATGTGTATCTCACTCATTAAAAGTTAAAATGTTGTTATTGTTGATGTGATAGAAAAGATTTGGGGGTATTAAGTGTAAAAAGCAAAATTTAGGGGTTAATATGTAAATACATTGTAATTGGGTGTTATGTATGTATGGAATTGGCATCGAGCCACTTCAGACAATTGCTATAATTTTGTTATTATCATTACAACATAAAAGAATAAATTTGTATGTATTTGCTATATGGGGGGATTACAAAAATACCACAAATTTATTATTTTACAGTGAAATTTATTTGCGACTGCTAATGATAAAAGCATACATATAATGAGAAACTTTGCTAGTGGACTGAATTTCTGGTGATAGTTGATGCCTTATTGTTGAGTACATCCTTGTGCCATCAAGAAAGCATTCTGTTGTATGTTAGTGTTGTTACAGTGAAAATATGTTTTGTTTGTCCATTTGCAGTTGAGGATTGTATGATTCTTTGGAAGTGGGACTAAAGTCCAGGTGCATGAAATCGAGTGACATGGCCTGACGCCAGTGAGAAAACTTGCTGGCGAGGTTGGGTCTAGGGAGGATATGGTGTTGTGTAGATTGAGCATGTCTTAAGGATTGAGAGATCCAGTCTTAACACGTGTGGTTATGGGATGTGTTTTATGTTGAGTAGGTTGCGGGATTAGGGGACTGATGGCTGTGTTTTGTTGGGTGAGTTATGTTGTTGGTTAGATTGTTTGTGTGAAGGTTGAATAGAAGGTAAGGATGTTGGTCAGTGTTGTTGAGTGGTTTGGGAGTTTGTTGGGGGTGACTGTAAAGGGAGGGGAAGGTTGAAGTGTCTGATAGGGAAAATGAGTTTCAACAAATGTGAGATGTTTGGAATGTATGAGGCGTTGTTTGTGAATGTCCCAGAAAACACAAAGTTGTGCTTTGGGCTCAAACTTATTATGTGTTGAGGTTGTTGCCACGGAAAGCAGGCACGGTTAAAGACTCGCAGGCGATTATATTGTGGTGGTTGTTGGTAGAGTAATTTGCAAGGTGATTTATTGTTGGTTGTTGTGGAAGGAAGAATGTTGATGAGGTAAACAACTGTTAGTAGTGCTTCCAACAAGAATTGTGGCAGTAAGTGTCCAAAGTTTAAGAGTGCTCTTGTTTTCTCTATGATGTGTCAATGTTTCCTTTTGACAAGACCATTTTTCTTTGATGTATAAAGGCAGGAAATTTTATGTTTAATTCCATTGAGTTGTAAATAAATTTGAAGATGGTGTGAAGTGTATTCACCACCACCACCACCACTTCTTACAATTTTGGTATTTTTATTAAAATTATTGTTGATGATTTATGTAGATGAGTAAAATGGTGTAGTGTCTCTGATTTGCTATGCGTTGGAAAGATCCAACAGTATTGAGAATAGGCATCTGTAAAAGATATATAGTATATGTATCCATTAATAGAGGGAACCAGAAAAAGACCCCATACATCAGAGCGAATAATTTCTAAAATATTGTAATTAGTATTACTATGAGGAAAGACTAATCCTTAACTCTTGTTTTGCATACATGAAGAACAAGGTGACTTGTTGTTTATAAAACTGATATGTGGAGCGATGTGACAGATTTGCGTTAGTATTGGCTGATGAAGGTGCTCGAGTCGATGATGTTAGTTGGGTTGGAAGATGGTAATGTTGAGAGCTTTGAGTGTGCAAAGACCTTGCTTAGCTAGGCATGTAACTAAGGTCTTCTGTGTAGTCTGATCATTTATGTAATAATGAAATGCATCAAACATAAGTATGCAGTTTTTGTCCTGTGCGAGTTTTGAATATAGAGGAGATTGTAAGGGAGGTGAGGTACGTAGTAGAGAGAAGAGAGTTGGATCTTACTATTAGAAGAGGCAAGTGTAGTTGAAACTGTGCAAGTTTTTTACTATATAAATGAACAAGTGTAGTTTGATCATATACGTTAGAATGATATGCATCAAACAAAAGTATGCAGTTTTTATCCTGTGCAAGTTTTTGAATATAGAGGAGATTGTGAGAGAGGTGAGGTACATGATAGAGAGAAGAGAGTTGGATCCTACTATTAGAAGTAGGAAGTGTAGTTGAAACTGTGTGGGCTATGATTGTTGATTGACCATTTCCTACCATAACTTGTTCATTGTCGTGATAAGGGGTGAGGAGATGCAAGTTTTCAAGGTGAGGAGTAAGATTTGTGGTGGCTTACGTGTAAATAAACCATGATTGGCGTGATGAGTTGATAATTGCAGTGAGAGTAGTGTGTTGAAGATTCATGACAGGTGGTAGAATTGAGGTTGAGATGGTCGATAATATTGTTGTTGTAATTCTGGTCAATCAGTTGCCATAGCTTGATGTCTTGATTCTTCTGAGGGTTTCTCGATTCATTTTGTGTAAATTGAGAGGGGATGGTAGTAGTTTCTGAAAGAAAATCTTCAAATCCAATGGCTAGGAACAATTTGTGTATCTATGTTTTCCATATTTGATAATTGTCAAATTAATGGGGTGATGTAGATACTGTCTTAATGCGCGACATCAAGAATTTTAGAGGAGTCGGTATATTGATTTTTTTCATCCTGTTTAGCAACATTGTTGTAGGTTGATTCAATCTGATAGTAGTCTAGCTTAGAGAGTCAATGGATTAGTTATTGTGAAACTGTTGCTCGGATACCGAGTAATAAGAGACTATACCGAAGCATAGCTACCCAAATAAGTACTTCACACCCATTTACATTCTTTGATTCTTTCTCCCTACAAGCCACTCTTCCCTCTTCCTCCTTAACCTAGCTTACATTGCTTTACATAGAGATGCTCCTGTGGGAGGAACCAACCTCATGCTACAATACTAATGGAGGGAAAGGCTCGTATGATAATAGTTGGCTAATGATGAGTGGAGCAATGAGCACACTAAGAGCCAGTATCTTGTCAATGGCGAAATTGGGGATAAAATTGACGGTAACCTTGCAATTTTATGAACTCCGGTATGTCACCTCCCAAAAGAGCCCTTATGGGTGGTGGGCAGCCCAGGACTTAAATACTGTTTTTCGGCCCTACACCTAGCCGATGTGGGACTATTTGTCTGTGACAGGTAGCTCTGGATTTTCAGGCG